CAGTTTCAACATAAAACAACCTAAAAAACTAGATATTACTTTATTTATGATTAGATTTCATTCTTTGATTTTTTTAGCACTCCCACATGTAGTTGTGACAGTTTGTGAATGTGATGTAGACATTTGGTTAGGTCTTATGTCTGAAGCCAATCCTTGGCAGTGACTTCTGATGCCCCACTCATTTTTGATTGTTATTTCTTCGTTACATTATTTATTTATATTTTATTTACAATACGTGGGGGATACACTGGATTTACTGCTTTCAAAATGAATACTGATATAATTACTTGAAATTGACATGTCTCGCAACGCGAGTGGTACTACTTGATTCCCTATATCAGGTTTAATAGGCCCTATTCATAGAGTTATGTCCCTGTATTATATAGTATAATGAATTGTGTCTGGGTAGTTCGATAAGAAAATGTCACACGGAGAATTCAGTTTTGTTTATAAAATTTTATTTGACATTTTATACACGTTGAAAGTGTTGAGAAAGCCTCCTAGTCTTCAAAATGTGGATAATCTTTGTGTCAATATCCAAAATGACAGGCATATTAATGATTCGCAGTTACTGCGAATCAAAAACTTTAGATTTTAATTTTTGATTAGCAACGGACAAAATATGTATCGCAAATTGCACTGCGATACTGGTTGTCGGCAGCCCTGGATACATCTATTCCTCTTAGGCGCTGAGGTTCTTAAATGGTTAGATTCAGCGTAACTTTAAGTGATAGAAATCCATTAATGTGTGATATTTATTATTTATCTGACCAAAATTACACAAATGCGACAAAATGGTTTGTATCATTTGTAAAATATAATTATAGGCTACCCAGTGGTACTTAATGAAATGGGGTTTAACATCCAACTTTTCTTCACCAAATGAGCTAATATGCCGCCTACTGTTGATGAAATTCCAATGGTCAAGGTGAACCTCTTTCTTGTCCCATATTAACAATGAAAACCTTTTTCCTTGTCAGGTCCTCCAGTCCTGCATGACTGACAAGCGGTGAACTAGGCTAAAAATCCTGCCAAACTTTTCATTGTCAACACCGTAATTGAACCCAGGCCTGCTGGTTTAAGAACCATACTGATTGAGTCACTGTGGCTGCCAATACCTATAGAAGTATTCAAAACATCTATTTGTGAATGATATTGACAGAGATGCTGCATTCAGGTCTCTAACACAGTGCCCTGCATTTTTGTTCTCATTTCAATTGAAGAACAAAGGGGTTAATGAAAGCAACAGTACATTAATAAATCATAACCCATGAGTTTGTTAATGGAATTTATGAATGAAATTACCAGTATAGTAATTTTAGTAAACATTTGGTCACCATCACATGACAACTGGATTATAATATTCAGGCTTAATGATTTATACCATCATGTGATGATATTAGATACAACAGTCATTAATAATCAGTATAAAAAACAGAAATGATTTGTTGCAACACAAATTGAATTTAGTGGTAAATTATTTGAATCAAGTGAACAAATTCAATGGTGTTTTCCACATTGGAAGACATTTCCCAGACTGAAAGGTGTTTTCCATATACCGGTACATGTAACGTGTTCTTTTTCAGAATTTCAAAATGACAAAAAGGACTGACAAAAGGCATGGCAAAAAATCTGCTTTCAGTTCTGTAACAGTTATTAGTTGATAAAATATTGACCTTTACAGCTTCATTTCCCCCTAAAAACAACATTCATAAGACTGTGACCGATCATAACTTTGCTATTCCCTACTGATATGTCTCTTGAAATTTTATCCTTGACAAAAGAATGTTACCCATAAGTAACTAAGTTGTAGGCGTATAAAACTCATTCCTTAAATGTCACAGATTTGGATCACAAATTGTGACCTTAATTTGTATGTACCAGAATCTGATAGCAATATAGTATTCAGATGAGATTACAAAATAGTTCACTTCTCTCTTGAACTGCCATATGAACACAACTGGTCCATAATGTTGGCCACAAGCCAAATATGTGAACTTTTGGGGAGTATTACTATTTGGGTGTCTGGGTTTCTGCCTGTTTCCTATTGCTTGCTTTCTGCAGTCAAGAATGGCAAGCAATATGTCTATTGATTGTAGCCTATTCTAGCTTGAGCAGAAGTAAATCCATACATTTGGCCCAGTGCCAGAATTAGCAGACACATACAAGACGGGAAGATTTGAAGACATGTCTACGACCATTATTGGCTGTCTATGTCATTATTACTCATATTTCAATATATATTAGTAATATCCTAATGATAACCATGTAAAAACAAACAATAAGCTATTTATTATGAAAATAAATTGATGTTTTTAAAAAAAGAATCTCTGATAATTTATTTTAGTATAGAAACTACATCTAGTTAAGATAGGTAAAATTAATAACAGAGAAACAAAACAAACAGTGATTTTATTTCCATTTATTAGATTCAAGGAAAATAAATGATAATTTAATGCAGACACGTATGCAAATCACTGTCTGAATTTTAATGATATCGTCAATAGAATGTAAATTCAACATTGCTTTGTTGTTTAAAGCAAGATTCTTTGTATTACCAATTGAACAGAAGTTTCTCGAAAATCTTAAGTCAATATTTTTGAAAAGTTTGAATTCAAGTGACGGAGGTACATTTACAAAGCCGCCAGAAATGTATAAAGGAATGTTCAGCAGCTCTTAACCAATGAGAGTCTATTTACTTGCACTCCCACATAAAGCGCAACCACACACATCCAATTATAGTAACAAAACCTCCTGGTTATAACCATCTTCCCACTGTTCAATATTGACTCCTGCTGGCTCTTCGTATAACCTGCTGCCCTTCAAATCTATACCCATTGTTTATTTAATGAGGTCACTATTTACTCTACGTGCCTTTAATGGGTCATGTTTTGTTCTATGCAACAAAAAAACTGGGCCAGACGCAAAGTACCTTTGACGACGTCATCAAGGACACTGGAAAATTTTGTGATGGGAAGGACGGATTTGTTCAGTGTGTTCACAAATCTGTCTAGACAAAAAGCAAAGAAAATTGTCACATAACTGACGAAATTCTTTACATAATTCACACAATTGTTGAAATATTTTTTTATAAACGAGCAAATTAACGATAAAGATAGTTAGTTTTATATAATATATAAAATAATAAATGAAAATTAAAAAATTAATGAAAATTAAAAAATTAATGAAAATTTGAAAATTAAAAAATTAATGAAAATTAAAAAATTAATGAAAATTAAAAAATTAATGAAAATTAAAAAATTAACGAAAATAAATGTTAATGAAAATTAAAAAATAAATGAAAATTTAAAATTAACCTGATATGCAGACATTAATCTGGCTATTCATATTTTTGCATATAAACTTATAAAGAGAATTATAAATCAAATGGTACCTGAATCAATCAAACTTGTTCGGATAAATTATCTTCTTCCTTATATAGATACGGAAAAGATTAGATAAGATAAGATTTTATTGTATCTTTTTTTTCAATAGATGTTAAAGTTAATCAAAGTTTTAAGTTATGAAACATAGGTAATAGGTCTGACATCATCAGTTTATGTTATGTGAAGTTTGTACTGTTTGCTGATGGATGCATGATGTTTGGTTAATTGGGGGGGGGGGGGGAGTGGGTGGAATTAACAAAAATAAATTAAAATTTTCATAGGAAAAGAACAATAAGTTTATTTGTAAGACTGTTATTTAAAGGGGCTGATCCCTTGGATCCGCACAAAGATCTGCCACTGATATCATATATATTGTTCTCTCATGGATTTATAGCTATTATCAACTTCATTTATTTGTCTTTTTTTTTTTAGTGCATCCTTTTTTGTAATGTCATGATATTTTATTTTACTAACTTTTCAGAATTTGAAGATATTTTGAAGATAATATACTATCAAACAATAATGTTTTACAAGCTTACAATACGGACATGTGCCAGGCAGATTGTAATATTGAGACTGACTATTATAGCAGTAGGTCTGTAGGAATGGGGTTATTAGTGTGAGCTGGTACTACAGGTATGAGGTTAGTATCTGTAGGAGGAAAGGTCGATGAATGTTGAATCCGAGACAGTCTATAGGAATCAAGGTAACTGCTACCACATGCTCCAGTTTACTCTTAATTGACAGGAGAACTGCACATCAAAACAAAGACAGAACAAAAAATACAGGAATAGAGCATAGACGTTACTATTGTATACACATTCTCCGAAATCATACATTAAAAGAAATTGTATGCAGATGAAGTGATGGCGCTGTAAACTTTCATGTTAGAATGTACCATCCTTGTGAAAAGCTGGGTGCCCACTAATGCGTTTCTACACATTTAAGATCCAACCGATTTACCTGAAGTCTCTGAATTCAGGTGCAAAAAGTGGATCAGAATCTAAAGTGAATACAATAAGTGAATCAATATCTGAAATCTTATGCACAAAGTGAATCAGTATCTAACGTTCACTGTTTATATCAATCTACTAATCCTTATATGAGAGCAGCTTATAATATCATAGGGGGCGGGGGGCATAAATGGGGGCTCTAATTTAGCCTAATATGATTAATATGTAGGGAGCTATCTATTCTAATTATTGTTTATTTATAATGCTCATTTGGATTAATGTTTTTATTGTAAGTCATTTATTTGTTTTATTGTTTTTACATTTGACACCAAATCAAGATGCTTTAGTTGATTTTTGTATTGAGGGACACAAAAAAAAGAGGAAATAGTTTCATTTTCATTTCTTGACATTTTTCAAACTGCTACTACATGTACATATATTTGTACAAATATTGTTGTTGCAACATTTTTTTCAAATTCCTAGACAAGGAATGCAGAAATATGATGGCTGAAACAATATTGTCATCTTTACAAATTATTGATTCTAAGTTCATAACCAAAAATATAGAAAGTATGCTGGTTATTTTGATTTATTAATGGAGGTATAGTTTGGTTAACATGCTGGTAATTTACATTTTTCAAGGATAAGTTGTTATTGTTTGAAATACACAAGTGGAAAATTACTAATTACCCTACGTCATTCAGCGCGTATAAGAGAGAGCAGGGCTAGAAAAATTTTAGACATCATGTAGATTCTTTAAAGTCAGACACCGCCCGAGTCCTTTAGACTACCATATGATGTAGTGCTTTCCGGAGTCTAGCCATGCTGGTTAGACTTTTATATGAATGGGGTTGAGAGAAAGACATGTTAATTTAAAGTATTGTAATGTAGACTATTGTTTAACTGTTGTGACATAATCATGCATAGAAAAAACTATTGTTGTTCCTGTTACATATTTAATTTCGGTTTCATGAGAAAACACAATGGTGAAGTCCTTAAGAGAGATACAACAGTAGCAGTCCAGAGTCAAACCAACCTCTCGACGATCAGGCCAAAACTAAAAGATATGTAGCCGGACACATAGTGTTACATATTATTCAAACGTTTTCAAATGCTAAGTTAAAACAAACAGAAAGAAGTCAATATCCACATCAGATAAAATACTTCTCTATCTACCAATGTCACAATCCAAACAAACATGAAAGAAATCGTCCCCAAAAAAGTCCTGTGTGTTTTGGCAAGAAGTTGAATAGTATGACGTAAATATCGAATTCAGGTAAGTGTCTTATGTGTACAGTTCTATTCATTATGGGATAGAATCTAATCTTGACATTTACGTATATATACATGTAATAATACGCAATAGAAAACCATATCTATAGAACTTTTTTTTTACTTATCTGTCAGGATTTAGATCACAGAAAGAAGGGCAGTAGGTAGGAAATTTGGCGTCTGCTCGGTAAATTCAGACCAATGTACAGATCAAATGACAGTATTTAAATGTAAAGATTGGAATATAGGTGTGTAATAAAATAGTTTAATCATGACATTACATAGGTAAGATTAGATAAAGAGCTGACCGTTCTTGCTATAATAGTTAAAAAATAGATATTAAAAAGAGAATATGCTGAAATTTCAGTCAAATTATTTCTCTCTGAGATATCAGCGATACAATTTTAGGCTAGCCTCGATTGTCATTACTACCGTTGTTACGATAATAAACAAACTCTCGATTATGCATTTGTACGGTAACCGCATCCACCACAAAGCATATTTGAATCCAGTAAATATCACAGGCATTCAATGGCATCGAGAGTTGATTATGGCCTGGATAAGTTAATTAATGTCTTATTAATAATTTATATAACATTTCAGGCCTAAAGAAAGACCTACAATGGGCAGATTTAGTTCTTGCATAATACATGTTTACCTTCAATGGTATATAAAACAAATTATTAAATTTTAGAAGGGATGGGAGTTTATTGTGTTGTTGATTATACTTCAGTCATTTTTAAGACAAATATTTTGTAATTCTAATTTCTATAGTTATGCCTGCAACGCGAGTAGGAGAAAATTGCCCATACAGCAGCCTTTCCGACGGCCCTTCTTCAATTTCCAACTATCATGGGTTCGTTTACTTGCACAATGATGTGTACACGCCTTTAACCTCAGTTTTTCGTCCAAACTCCGAAGGCACAATTCCTGGCAAGCTAAGAAATACCTCACATGTTTTAAATATTATTTATGTGTAATATAGTTTCAAAATCACTGATATATCATTTCATTTTTGGGGTATTTTTAAAGAAAACTCATTTTTAATACCAAAATAGCATGACATTAATTTTGTTCTGGAAAAGAGCTATCCAGATTTATCTTAACATTGTAATTTTTGAGTAGATCGTAAAATACAAAATGTTTCCTTTACATGTAAATAAAAATCATGTAGCAATCAAAATGCACTGATTCCAATTTACACATTGAAAAGGTTGCATCTAGTAACAAATGGCACATAACATGACATGAGAGGGAGTTTAAACACAAACAAGGTCGTTCAGGGTCTTTGGTTATTGGAAAAGAACCCGGATAAAACCCACGAGGTTGGACAGGCGACCCCTACTCCTTGTCACATACTTTTCTATTTTAAATAGAAAGTCATATGAAGTAGGACAGATTCTACAGGTAATTTCATTTGAGTAATGCCCAGGATCACAATGAGGAGGTCCTGGCTTTGATCCCAGTGCTGGTCGAGAACATTCCTCACGATTGTCCAATCTGGTATGGAAAAGCTTCTAGTCATTCTGAATTGACAAAACAGAATCAACAGGTTCTGTGTACACATTGGTGAACTGCTAAATGAACCCTTGTCAGTTGAAATTCAAAGAAGCGCAGGATAAAATGCTGTAAATTCCAGTCATTGCACACTGCATGGAGGATGCTTGTCTTTAATGAGTCAATGACACTGTTCATCTGACATGAAGACATGAAATTATCATCTTGACTAGTCAACGAAATAGTAATATACAGGTTGGTGTGAAATGTCATTTATTATTCAAAATGACAATATGAAAACATGAGACAAGAATGCAAGTAATACTTATATACAGGTATAATGAGTCAATGACAGTATTCAACACTAACTTCCTTTAAGTTTGTAGTTCATACAAACTCATAATGTACATTTCTAAATTCTAGGACATAAGTACTAAAATTGTCCTAACCTACAAACCCATCATAATTTATGCTGTAAAGGTGGATCACTGACAATGATATCTACGTCATTACAAAAAAAAAAATATACTGACATAAGTGATAAAATGTTGGGATCATCGTTATGACAATCATATTGTGTTAATTTTGATTCTTTCAACATAATGTATCCAATGCAAAGATGAATTTTGATATTTTACTGTTCTATTATAAAATGGGTGGTGGGTGGGCGAATGACGTGTGTGCTTGCCTGACCTTGTGGGGTTTTTCCAAGAACTCTGGTCACCTCCAACATCTGAAGCATCTATTTTTAAGTAATTCATTGAAATAAGAAAGATCATGTTATATTTAAAATGACCCCTTTAGTTAGTGTTGACTGAATATTAAACCCTTTCTCCTAACTCTTCCTTACCAAGAAAAATCTGGTTGTAACCAATGTCATCCATATTTGCACAAGTAGTGGCCAAGTCTGTAAATTCATTGTTGAACATACATGTACAACAAACCAGATGGTCAATTAAAAATTACAAATATGTACTTTGAATACATGAAATGGAACCACAATCTAATTACAAAGATGTACTTAGAATATATAAAAGGTAAACACAATTTAATGACAAATATGTGCTTCGAATATATAAAATGTAACCAGTCTGATGGCAAATGTGTACTTTGAATACATAAAATGTAATTACAATCTAATGACAAATGCATACTTTGGATATATAAAATGTAACCACAAACTAATGATAAATATGCACTTTGTAATCTAATGTAATCACAATCAAATCAATATCAATCCATGCCATAGAATAATCTATGATATTAATAAATAAATTTAAGACACATTATGTAAGAGCTAAATATTCCTATTGCAGGTATCTCCTTTAGCTTGAAATGTGATATAAACTATTTATAACCAACTCTTCAGAACATTCTGAAATTTAAACGGATTGAAACATGATCGCCATTTAATGATTTAGTCAAGGCTAAGGCTAAGTCTTGATTAACAAGTACCATTGTTACGATAATAAACAATCTATACCACATCTTGTCAAAATTTAAAAAGTAATTTGAATGAAATTTTCAATATATTCATTTTGCATTATCTATTGTTGAACTATTATAACAAGAACGGCCAGCTTTTTATATAAATCTTAGATAATGCATTTTTAATTGCGAAAGGAATCAAAAAATCCTTTAAATTTTGTAACTGTGTAGCCTACTTAAAAGACTATCGTAATTAAAAATCCTTTGTAAAGATGTAGTGTTGTTTATCAGGATTCAAGATCCATTCATTTTTTATTAAATCAACATGTTTTTATGTAGCTTAGTAAGGGTTCATTGAAGATTACACTATTGCTTCAGGAAATACTGTATTTTTTTTCGCAATACAGAAATAAAACCCACTCCTTACATTTATCCTGTTGGTCTGCCCCACAGAAACAGACTTGACATGCCTGCAACTAATTGTAAATAACTTTATTAAAGGAATATGACCCATTTCATCACTATTAAAACACAAATCTGCAATGGTAGTCTTGGAGTCTTTTACATCTAATGTTTTATTATTATTTTCAAAGTAGAAAAAAAAACTGTACTGGTACCTACGAAATAAAAACAAAATACATTGTTTTTTCACATTAAGTGAAGACAAAAGTACTACTGCTAGCTAGTGATTTATATCCACTTAAGCAGAGCAAGGTCCCTTTAAACGGAAATACAGTCAAGTTGGAGCTGAAGGGAATGACCTGGTCTTTAGGCAGTATGCACTACTCTTTCTCTAGTTAAGATATGTGATTTTAAACTCAACCTTTAAGCTTCATGAATGTTTGTATATACATGTATAAATATCCTATCATATACATGTATAAATATCTTATCATATACAAAAAATGATATTGAGTCATTATAACACATTTATTTTCAATACCTTTCTAAATCTAACACTAATATTTGAGAATTTCAATATTTCTATGTTGTGAACTAAGCTTAGAGATCCACTAGTGCTTTGGATATCGCTGTTGGTAGGTAAAAAAAAATTAATTTCCAATTTGACTATATTATACAGTTCAATACATACATGGGGGCTCATTTCAGATTGTATGCAAAACTTGAGACAAATCGGCCAATCCATTATAATAACTTTCAAATTAAAAAGTGACTGTCTCTAAGGTGTACAGTGCAGGGCTGTTGTTTCAGTTCTATTTTTCAGAGTTGACTGACTGCCAGTGAAACCAACCGCCTAGAGAAATTTACCTGACAGTCAATTTATATACAATAAAATAAATACAGATAAATTTATACTTTTTGTGAAAAATGTATATCAAAATTTGTATAATGTTAAAAATTGTCACATTCTTTGAAAAAAAAAACCCAACCCACAAACCTTATAATTCTAACCCAAGATAAACAATATACAATAATAAATAAGCGATGCACAATATTTTGAAGTTAAAAGCCCTGTTTCAATAAATAGGTGAGTCTAAGGTCAATTTGAATGTTTTTAAGTTAAAGTGATAATGCATGTTTAAGACGGAAGTGATAATGGCCCCTCTATGTCTATTATTTGTCCAATTATATTCAAAATGTATGTATTATATCTTACAAATTATATTACAAGCACAGATGATAATAACGTCGTGAAAAAAGATGATAGCTATATGATGAGGTATTAATTTATATTTGTGATAATTTTTATGACTGAACCTGATTCTCTAGTTTAATTATTATATTCGCACAGTATCAATACAAGATTTTAATTATTGGCTTTATTTCTTAGTGCTAGAAGGCACCCTAGTTCAAGGCTACTGTAGAATATAAAAAAAAAACAACAACCAGTCTCTAATTATAGATGTATTAGAAGATCACATTAAGCTAATAAGAAACTGAAATGAAATGAAGTATAAAGACTTCACGTAAAAAGCAATGTGTCCCAGAATATTCAAGGAAGAAAGCTTTTTTTCTGCATATTGTTCATTAATTCTGTTATCACTATTTATGTGTATATAATAAACTATGATTCTACTTCAGTGTTAAAAAATAAAATGTTCATTAATGCAGAAGAGTCATGTTTCATGATTGAGCAATAAATCATCAGAAATCATGATTTGAACATTAGATTTCTAAACATGGATATTAAATGCTTTGTTTGCATTTTAAGATGAAAGTATTAAATATGTAGGTAGACATGATAAACAAATATAGATATACTTTACATCATATAAAATTATGTTTTTATTTTCATACTCTGTGTATATATTCTTCTGTATGTTCTTTCATAGATGGTTACTTTTAAGCAGGTGTGAAAAGACACAAATTTTCCTTTGATCTCTGACAGTCTATAATATCTGAATGCAACTGTCTTTTCCCCCAATAGGCACGTTTGTTTTATCCATATTTCATTGGACATACAGATAAGATCTATGAAAAAAAGCTTACCACTTATAAAATAAAGTAATATGTTTAAAGTAAATTCATTCTTGTCAATGGCTAGTAATACAAGGGAGGTAACTCTGTTTTGATGCAGTACAACTTACACTCTTCAATTGAACCTACCTTCTTGTCTTGAAGATCTTCAGAGCATTACCTCTGAGGCATAATATAAATTATACAATGTAGGTGCATAGACAATATAATTGTGTTTTTTGTCAATTACATAACCAGTTATTATTGTATTGTTGGTTTTTGTATAAAAAGACCAAAAATGGAATTCTAAAAAATGAAGACTACCATGTTTACTGCCTACAGGTCATCAGTGTAACTAAAAGTGTCCATGAAAATATTATAAAAATGATGACATCGTAATTAGCTAAAACATAAGTGGGTCATCATTAGAAAGCAAAGACCTGAAAATGAAAACACCCAATAAAAAGTTTTTATTTGGATTTAATATTTATGTATTTTATTGACTGATCTCATTGGAAACCTTAAGTAATCCAAACTAAGTAAGATAGAAATAAATGCAGGGTCCTTGTTTTCTACCCCATTTCTGTCTCTGTGATAAACACTTGTGACCGAAAGGGAATACCTTCCTCCAAATTACATACCATGTACAAATTTTCAAGGGTATTTTCTTCCACAGTATAACTGCATTCATAAAAGAGTAGAATATTTAAGGAAACAAAATTGATTTTTACAATTTCAAAGGGGACTTCCTTATTGGGTCTCTGCTTTCCATAAATTCTATCAAAATGTAGATATGGTTGATCCACTGATAGTTTTGCTATTTATAAGTTCATAATTTTGTGTTTTGAATTTCAAAAGTGTCAGTCAAACTAAGCAAGTAGGCATTATGTCTTATAGAAAGTAATAGCCATAACTATATTACAACAATCAAATTTTAATCATTTTAGACCAACATATTTTTGGTAAGACTGTTTTTATTGTGTATTTTCTGAAAAATAGTTTGTAAGAAAATGTTTGTTTTTCTGATGCATGTCTGATAATTTCATATATGAGTCTGGAATTTTGGAGTTTTCAGAGGACAATATTTGTGTTTATGATGCACACCTGGTGAGAAAACAAAAACTGACACTTTGATAATTAGTGTATCTGGTGTATCTTATAATATTATGTGTAGTAATCTGGTGTATGCCAAATGTATGTTACAATATGTGACCCGCTCCCACAAAATCAGGCATTTGTCACACAACTGTATGCCTTCTTGTTGCTGTGGATGAGCCCAACTCTACTCCAGATGATATAACAAATTTAAAAAGAATTGCATTTTTGGAAAGCTTAGGCTGTGGACTATTCAAATATGATGTCAGCTCTATTTTGATAAAAATGACCAAGGGCCTGGTTTTGTGGGAGCAGGTCACATATCATGTAATATTACATATAGTATATCTGATGTATGTTGAATGTATGTTATAATATTACATGTAGTATATCTGATGTATGTTGAATGTATGTTATAATATTACATGTAGTATATCTGATGTATGTTGAATGTATGTTATAATATTACATGTAGTATATCTGATGTATGTTGAATGTATGTTATATATTACATGTAGTATATCTGATGTATGTAGAATGTATGTTATATATTACATGTAGTGTATCTGATGTATGTTGAATGTATGTTATAATATTATATATAGTATTTCTGATGTATGTTAAATGTATGTTATAATATTATATATAGAATTTCTGGTGTATGTTGTAATATTTGTTCTAGGACAACTGTCCGTGTGACAACTGCAGGTGGGACAACAGCTGGAGAACTGCGGGCAGGACAACTGCAGACCATTTTATCATTATTTTTTTAAAAAATGTATTTAACTGTTAATTTTATGCCAGTGATTTTATTTGTTCTTTTTTAGTAAAGTTTATAAAATGCAAAGTGAGCGTTATCATGTATCTATCTATGTCAGTAAATTCAACAGTCGCCATGTGTTGGACAATTTACGTGGTATTGCTCACAATAATCACCTGTGATAACTGTGTGTCATTGACTGAGTGAGTGCTATTATAGACAATATTATGTGAACCTAAATAATTCTATATCAATAATTAGTGCTGTATGATAATATTAAAGAATATTCAAGTATTAAGTATTGGTTATTTTCAACAAAAAGAACATAAATACAGAAAAACAAATAATATCGTTGGCAGTTGTTCCGTCGGCAATTATCCTTAGTGGCAGTTGTCCCACCAGCATTTTTCCTGCTTCCATAAATATTATATGGTGTATGTTATATTATATGTAGCATATGTGGTGTATGTTGAATATATATGTTATAATATTAGAATATTCTACTCACCTCTAATAAGAACGGTAAAACAGGTATATATGTGTTAGTGGTGTCAGATAATAACGTCAGGGCTCGTACACAGTGAAATCGTAATGGGTAAAACTTGGAAGTGGGTTGAAGCCTGCAAAAAATAAATGAATATCAGTTTTACAATATTGTTTTCTTCAAATTACAATACCATGGATTTCTTGTAAAAAAATTTCAAATGTTCACCTTGATAAAATAAAAACACCTACATGGCACTCAACTGTCATGAATGTTTTGAATTGACAGAAACTGACACATAATTGAGTTTTGGCAGTTATGTCAGTTCTAATTACTGATATGATTTGAGTAGTATCACTATATAATCAAACACAGGGAACATGTTTTGAGTTGTGAGGATCTTAGAGGATTCTTATTCATTTGACACATACATTATTGCCAGAATAAACATGTTCACTCAACTTTCATAGATGACAGGACTGAAGGGTCTAAGATTTCTGGTAAATTCCAGAGTTATATCCCTTGCTAATGAAGCCATGTTAACACTCAGAAATCACAATCATCTCTGAATCTTTATAAACAAAGACCCTTATTGATTTTTGATGAGACAACAATAACATATTTGACAAATTTAAAACGGGGACAGATCTAAGCTCAATTTGCAAGTGAAGTACAATAATGGAGTATACTTACTTGGCTGTTCCAATAATTGTTTGCGTCAGAGGATATATTAAGGGTTGTAATACATCACTAGGGTGAGCTGTACCTAATAATTTTACCCATAAACCTAAACAATGTATAAACTGCCAATTATAAACAGCTTGAACTGTTTCCTGAAAAAATAAATATAGAAATAATAAGAGCTGTAATAGCCCTTTTAGAGGTATTTATAGTAACTACTCTAGATAGATCAATAAATAATAACATATACTTACAGAAGAACAATAACTGATTAAATTGTTCTCTCAATGTTTTCATTCAAGTAAATCAAAACGTTGAGACAATACTTCAAAACTTCACAGAAATAAATGAGTAATTGCTCTTATGTGTTATAGTTTAAAAACTCAAACTATTTCAAAGACTCCATATTCAGATATGTGAATATAAATACTACTATTTATGCGATGACAAGCATTTCATTTTTTCCGAATGTTATGTCCCTTTATTTCAAACATGAAAGAGAAATGAAATGAAATGAAATGGGTTTTAACGTCCTACTGTTCTGCTCCTATGCTGGGCTAATGAAGACAGGCATACGCCATACAGTGTGCTATGAGGGAAATTTGGCCCGAGCAGCGGCACTATCGCCTACTCTTATATCGAATTCCAACTGCCAAGGGATCTTTTACCTGCATTCTAATGTATACACGGGACCTCGGTTTTTCGTATCATTCGAAGGACTAGACAGGTGTCCTTGTCAGGCCCTCCACCCTGATCACTGACAAGGGGGAACCACGCTGGAAAATCTGGATGAACTTTCTCGGCCAATGCAGGGATCGAACACCCGACCTCCAGACTAGCGAGCCAGCGTGATCCCCAACATGAAAAAGAGAGAGATATATATATAGAGAGAGATGGGGTTTAACGTCCACTCGACACAAACAAGGCCATTTTGGGGCTCACATGTGGTTCAATTTTATTTCAATTATTCGCATGCGCATAGGGGTCTTTAGCAATGGGAGGAAACTGGAGAGAGAGAGAGAAATGGGGTTTAACGTCCACTCGACACAAACTAGGTCATTTCGGGAATAACATATGGTTTAATTTTATTTACATAATTCGCTTGCGCGTAGGGGTCTTTAGCAGTGGGAGGAAACCGGAGGGCCCAGAGAAAACCCACGAGGTTGGACAGGCGACCCTACTCCTTGTCACATACAACCGGAGATTCGAAACTACGCCAGTCGACTCAAAGACAGACTTTATGATACAGCGCGCGCACGCTAACCATTCAGCCATCCAACCCACCCGGGAGGAAACTGGAGGACCCGGAGAAAACCCACGATATTGGACAGACGACCCTACTCCTTGTCATGTACAAACGAGGAATCGAAACCACGCCAGATGACTCAATGACAGACCGTATGATACAGTGCGCACATGCTAACCAGTCGCCATTCAACCACCCTCAAACATGAAAGAGAATTCATTTCCCAAACTTTAAATATTCAAACATGAAAAATTAAATTAAAAAAAATAAAATACCTTCTTTTTAACAGTAATAGCGTTTCTTAAATGTATAGCTAATTGACGTATGTAGATAAAGGCATATTGATAAGCCAATACTGAATCTATTAAAAATATCTCCACCAGAGAGCGCTGCATGAAGTTTATCAAAGGCATTGTTGTTGGGGAGGTAAATTTACAATTCTTTACAAACGCCATATACATTTGCTGAAATAAATAAATAAGTCATGTTCATTAATGTTTTAAATAAAACACCTTGCCAACAACTTTACTACACCATTTTTCAAGGTCTGCTCTGAAATATTTTCATTGATTTATAGCCAGCAGAAATGCTACTTAGCTTAAGAAATCATAATTATGTCTATATAGCTACAAAAAATACATAATTTAGTTTCACTTGAGAAGTACTAAATAAAACACAACAGAAGAACTTACAAAATCAAAAAAATTTTATATGGATTTTTAAAAAGGACCTTGTCCCGTTGAGTTTTTAACATGAATAGCTTTTATTAAAATAGAAAACAAACCTTTATAGTGGTTTCTAAGAGAGCATCTGGTAACAAACCAATCATTTTATTTATACACAAGAAAGCTAAAACACGGGATGTCTCTTCTCCTGTTGACCAAATCTCTGTACATTTCTATAATAAATTTGTTAATTATAAAAAATAATATAATAACATTCTTAAAGGAACAGTCCCAAATATTTTGATAGTCAATGAAACTGGTTTATTCTGAGTGAAAAAATCTTGTGAGGGTTAACCCAATCCTAATCCTGTGCTACTGTTTAAAACTCTGTGGTAATGTCTCCAAGAAATAATAACTTTCATTTTCCCCAATTCCATGTGGTGTTTGTACCTGGTTAACCTTGTCTATATACTAGTCTGAGTTCTAGCAGTAAGTAATCAATACAATTATGAAGACAGTCGGAAGACTAAAGAATGAAACTCCTTGAATTGAGTATCCCCTTTTTACCACAGCACAACAAAAACATTTTGTAAGGGGAGATAATATTGTGTTCATGTCATTATTAACAGTCTTATTGTGTCAATTATCCAGATGTTAATTTACCCTGAAGGTAGCAATTTTGTCACTGGATGATCAAGAAAAATGCATAAGTACATCACAAACAAGACTGGGGTGTGTCTATCTCACCTTAACTAGTTTTCTAGACAGCCTAATAAACACAGAACAGATTGGTACCATCTTGTGGAGATGTTTCAGTATAACGTTTATCATTGCTGGTTCCGCTATAGAAGATATTAGCTGAAATTACCACACATTAACATTATGTATCTTAATTAAAATATGATAGGAATAGAGTTAAACTTCTCATTAATATAATACTTTGGTCATTTACAGAAATGTGAACAATGTTAGGGATGAGAGAGAGAGAAATGGGGTTTAACGTCAACTTGACACAAACAAACATTTCGGGACTGACATGCGGTCCAATATTATTTCAATAATTTTCTTACTAGTAGCAGTCTTTATCAGTGGCAAGAAACAGGACCCGGAGAAAACACATGAGGTTGGATTGGCGACCCCCCCCCCCCCACACCATCAATGCTAGGGATGAGAATCTTGCCCGAACACTAACATGTCCATCTGCTGACTGCTCTTTATCCAATTCCGTCTTTCAAGGTTTAATTTACATGCACTCACTGTACCTTGGTTATCCACCCCATCCAAACAACTAGACAACCCCTAATGAGTAGGAACTGGGATGGGAAAATTACATAGTTCTTCTCGGTTCATGCCAGAATTTGAACCGTGTGCAATCCAGTAGGGAGTATACTGCCCTTACAGCTTAACTACTACAAGTCATGCAACTTAATTAGGTTATGCATGACTTGAGTAAAAGCTGAAAGTCTGGAATGTTTTATCTCCATTCATATGGTATTTTTTTTTTAAATCATACTGAATAGACCACATGAACGTCAACAGCGATGTTATATATCCCAGTTTGGTAAGTACACTCACTATTGTCTCAAATTATTTTTCATTTGATAGACTTTTGACTATAATAAACACAGTATTTGTGTGATATATAATATAGCAGCAGAAATACAAACCTTGAATAAATCCACCAGATATGATTTTACTGAGGCTTTTAACTTTGTCCAGTTTTTACCCTTACTAAGAGATGGAACTTGAGTAAGTGATTGGAGTTCAGAAATATTTAATAATTGCTGTAGAGCAGGAACAATTTCTAATAAACACATCCGGACAATACCATTAAAAACTGAAAAAAAATCGATAAATAGGTTATACTTCATGAACATAACAGTACTTTGAAATTTGCAAAAATCAATATAGAAAGAGAGAGAGAGAAATAGGGTTTAATGTTCATCTTGTACCAACTATGTCATTTTGGGACTAACAAATGGTTCAATTTCATTTCACTGATTCATTGTGCGTAGGTGTCTTTAGCAGTGGGAGGAAACCGGATGATCCAGAGAAAACCCACGAGGTTGTCACGTACAAGTTGGGAATCGAAACCACGCCATTCAGTCACCCAACCCCTCCGCCACAATACAGAAAATGATGAGTTAATTTTGTAACAAAAATGAACAATCTATCAAGAAACTGGGTTCTCCTCTTTCCCCTAACATCGTGCAAACAAATTATTGAAATAAATATATGTCAGTCCCAGAATGCAATTGTTTGTGTTGAGTGGATGTCAAACACATTTCTCTCCATCTCATTTTGATGAGTGAACAAAAAAACTCACATAATATTTAAAAAATGTTTGATTGGTTGTATTGAATTCTTTTAGTTTGAGTAATTTGTCAAAAAGAGTTTATTAAATCATCACAAGAAGATAGGCACGTTAACAAATGTTGAAACTAAAGATTGCAAAAAACTTTGTTACATGCATGGTAGCATCTGGCAGAAAGCAACGACACCTAAAAAACAGAATTTGCAAAATTGCGTCTAAGCTAAACTTGTTAAAAAAATCGAACTTTGACTGCTTTCTATTATAATTAATCTCAAGCTTAACATGGTTATTAAAACCATCATCAGATACCACAGTACAGCCAGATTCTATAATCATTAGTTCTTCGTTTCTAAATGGTAATAATATGTCTAAAGGTAAAATGAATTGAAATGTATTCCAGAGGATAAACCAATCACATAAATAACATTGGGTATGCTGAATATGTTCGTACTGTATGGGTGTGTATAATTTAATATCTCTATTACCTAAACCACCCTCAACATGATATTGTGTTACTTCATCTGAATTACTTGTTGACCGGACAGCAGCTTTAAAAGCTTGAACCATATTTCTAAATCCATTAATAGTAGCTTGTTTCTGGAAAATAAAATTTGATACTGAGTAATCATTCTGTGCATGTTATAATACTACATGTATACTTTAGAGTTTGGACCAAGAACACACACTTAGAGGTCAGTTCCCAGTAAAATCCATATATTTGCGACAGTATTTATGTGCTACATTAATTTTACTTTGCTGTACCAATTGTAGCTAACAGACTGAAAGACAGGAATCACATGCCATGCGAAACAAGTATCAGATGCCCAGACAGACGGGTAAGCAATCAAAGATCTAACACACTGACCTGAATATCTTCATTCCATTGCTTGATCATTTTTAGAGTAACTAATTTTCCTGTATAATCACTACTACTTCCATCAGTTGGTTTATCAACTTCATCACCAGACTCACCACTTTCATCACTAGCTACCTATAAACCACATAATAAAAATCTTTTTATAAATATTTGCTTAAAAGTTCAATGTGTAAGGAGACCAATAGTCATTTTCCTTGTCAAATTTAACAAAATAAGAGAATTACAATGTTCTTCAGATAGAATCATAGAAATCTGTGATTAATGCTCTCTTCATCCCAGTGTATATAGATTGAAATGAGTTATTTTTCAGTAGCTAGAAGACATTCTAAGACAGAAAAAGATAGGATCATGAACTAGATTTTTCAGATTTTCATAAACAACATATAAGCTTTTAAATTTAAAATAAAGAAACCTACTTCTAGTTTAGATGGTGGTTTGTGATATGGTTCTTCATCTGAATCTCTTGAATCATCATCAGATTGAGCCAATATATCTTGTTCAAACTTTTTCAGTCTTTCATCTTCTGATTCATCAGAATCTTCGGCATCCTTAGCATCAACATTATCATCCTCATCTTCATCATCTGAATCACCAGATTCAAAATCTTCCAGTAATTCTTTATCCTCATTTTGTAGAAATTGAAAAAATTCAGGATCTTGTTCTTTCAATCTATCTAATGTTTTCTTCTTAGGCTTCAAGTTCTTTGTATCACTGTAGAAAAATAAAATTCAAAACAATATAAAATGTCTTATTTGAATAATGAGCTTGTTATAATTAAATTCAATTAAAACATAAATTTTGACTGGTTCTGCTATATTGGGTCATATTCCTTAGTAACTCATGAGTCAAACAGAATAATATGTACCTCAGGTACGAATGAATTTGTGTTTCTTCAATGTGTTTGAAAATGTAAACTTTTTACGTCACTGATGCGGTCCTCAAAAATAAAATGAAATCCAAGAAAAATGATAAATATACTGTGCTACAACACTAATATAAAATTTCCTATTTGTAGACCGTGTAATAGAGTGCTGGCATGATATATCAACGATATATCATTGAACTGCGATTCACTTTCTCACGATTCGATATGCAATTGGATGTATCGTGATACTTTATGGGTTTTTTGTCGCTTCAGTACACTCTTAATTATCCACATCACACGTAGTGTGGGTACACAAACACTCTTAAATTGCTTTGGTCCTTATTTTGATCCATATCAATATCGTGATTTAAAACAGTTTTATTTCTTTGACATCAGTAGGACTAAAGATATCAATTATTCATTTATCCTGTTATTTTCTTTGTAAAGATTGATCTGGTTATGAATCATGATAGAAATCATATCATAGCACCTGAATCGTAATTTATGTATTATATCGTGACTGCAGTGGCAATACCCAGCACTAGTGTAATATGGGAATTATATACACCACTCCTGGGACACTGAATGAAAATGGAGAAAACAAAAATACCTTGATTTGGCAGCTGTTTTCGCTTTCTTATTGCTCATTTCTTTTGGACTTTTTTCTGTTGATCCAACTTTATTTTGTTTTAGCTTAATCTTAGTTAACTTCTTCACAGGCTTTATATTTGACTTCTTGGCAGACATTTTCATTTCAGCTTCTGAGGAAGAATCATCACTGGAGTCAAAACCAGATTTCATAAATTCATCAACATCCATATCACCTATACTTCTGGTTAAAAAAAAGAAAACATGACACCATCAGGCCAGATTATTCATGGATTTTTAAAACATCAACAATCTTTATCATTTTAATGTAAAGACCGTTGTTGTTATGTTATTAAACACACCAGCAAAAATTTTGTCCTCATCAATCTACTTTTGACAAAACATGTGTTTTAAATAACTCGACTGTCTTCAATTTCAATACATATAAATTCTGTTACACTTGAAACATTTAAACTAGACGAAATTTGAATCGCTTGGAGATTGTTGTTAGTTTTACCAACACAGAATTGGTGACAAGTTAGACTGTTAATGTTGACTACTGACAGCTCACTATTAAATAGTTTTCGAGGAATAAATTAACTTGCTGAGCTGTAAATGGTTTAGACAGTGCCATCGAATGTGGAATTGCTGGGAATACCCCCTTCCCCCCAAGTCCAGTCGAGATAGAATTTAGGGTGAACTAAATGGACTGGATTTATAAGTTTAATGTGTTAGCAATGCAGATAACTAAAAATTGTGAATTTTGATGTCCGCTGAAAAAAGTAAACTAGTTATCAACTTTTGCGTCGAGCTTTGAGTGTTACGATGTTAGATGTTACGTCGTCAGAATATCAACAAAGAGTAATATCTATTCTAACCTGAATCTGAAAGTAGTACGTTGAAGTAACCACAGCTGTTGGCTTCTATTCAACTTGGAGAGAGAGAAATGGGGTTTAACGTCCACTCGACACAAACTAGGTCATTTCGGGACTAACATATGGTTTAATTTTATTTACATAATTCGCTTGCGCGTAGGGGTCTTTAACAGTGGGAGGAAACCGGAGGATCCGGAGAAAACCCACGAGGTTTGACAGGCGACCCTACTCCTTGTCACGTACAACCGGAGATTCAAAACCACGCCAGTCGACTCAAAGACAGACTTTATGATACAGTGCGCGCACGCTAACCATTCATCCATCCAACCTCCCTATTCAACTTGGATTAGGCCTAAGTAAATGTAAGTCGCTATCACTAAGACATGGTACATGCTACACTTAAAGGTCTAATTTGTATGTGTGGCTCTGTAAGAAGTTACTTAAAACAATGACAATGAGATGGAGTTTATGTCTTTGAAAATACACCAAACATGTTGTATGTTCACTCAACTTCAGATTGAAAACAAAATGATTACATGTAACTAAATGTAAACATGCCGAACCACTCCTCATAGTATGGTTTTACTGAGGTACAACTTCAATGAAACACATCAACATTTACTTTGTTTCAATCAGAGAAATAAATATAGACTGACAATCACTTGTTTCAATTTTAGTCAATTTCATGAAACGTGTAATAAAACGAAATTCATATTTACCGTTTGGAGTTCGCCATGCTTGTAAGGGGGCCGCCATTAACGGAAGTGACCCCAGCATGACCTTGATAATGGCTAAATCGATTTGTTAAAGTCAGCTCAATTTTCATCAAGGTCGTTGAGATGTAAATAAGGTTAGGGCTCGTGATTGTTCGCGAGTTTGTTGGTTATAGTAAGCATTAGGTCTTGAACCAGGGTTAGGGTTGGGATTAGCGCTTGCCCTGTTTACATCTCATGGCCTTTGACCAAACTCAAAGTTGGCCTTATTAAATAGATCAAACCATATAAATATTATGGTCAACGGGAAGCAACTCTATTTTGTTTTATAAGATATATACGGAACATAGACCACTTGACTTTCCTCAAGTTTTATATGTTGTGTTTTTTATTCCAATTAGCCTTCTCTATTTGTACTTGACCACACGGTTGTCCAGCGCCTATAGCAGTCGGTCGATGATGAAACTGGAAACAGCGTAGCTAATGTGACTGGAAAAACGAATCTCAGTTTTGCTACGTAAAATGTTCTCGGTTGCCTAGTCTCATTTTATTAAATAGAAATATTAATATTGGGTAAACTTACGCAGAGGTGTCATATATTTTATTTACCTCGACTCAGATACGTGTGTTGTTAAAATGTCGAACGATAAAAGGATTGATAGTAAGTTAACTTATTTATGTAATAACCATCCAATAATTTTCCTTCAATTTTGTAATTATATTTTCATTATCTGTCATATAATAATAATAATAATAATAGTAATAGGCCTAATAAAATAATAATAATTGTGTATATATATATATATATGTATAATGCGCAAATTTCCATACACGTATGTATGGTCAAATACAACTGTATTTACGTTTAAACAGATGGGTCTTTAATTTTGATTTGAATGATTCTAGTGAAGGGGTGGGTTTTACACTTAATCAGTTAATGATAAGGAATTCCATAGATTAGGAGCACTGAACCGGAAAGATTTATTGCCAAAAGATTTGAGGTTAATTTTAGAGTTTCTAGTAAATGCTGATTTTGGGATCGTAAGTTACGTATGTTAAGGACTATACATGAATTAGATCAGACAGATATGTTGAACTAGTTCCATGGGTAGACAGCCAGTATCTCTTAATAGCGATGGTTATGTACCCGTTTTGAAGCAGTATATAGTGTCAGCAGTATTTTGAATAATCTGCAGTTTTGAAATCAAGTTGCGATATGTATATATATTTCTTATTCTATTTATTGAGTAATCCTTATAAGAACAACAACAACAGTTGGAAAATAAGAACATAACAAGTAGCAATAGCCGAACACATTTACGATAACCCGCAATATAAAATCATATGGAAAAATACAGAAATTCTAACCAGGAACTTATCAGTGTTGATAAACAGAATTCTCCGAGAAGCCTTAGAAATCCCAAAGCATAAGACTCAGGACATTTTCTCCCGAATTTTAAAGTAGATTTACTTAATCCCTAATTAGTGTGTGGTTTCTATTTTCTTTCCTTTCGATTTGTTGCTCTTAAGACGTTGTTAATCTCTTTCACTTGTTGTTTTATCGGCTAAATGATTCTAATTGTTATCTATATAATGCATCTTGTTAATTCCTTGTAGATCTTGGTTTATCTGCTTAGTGCTTTCCGATTGTTATCTATATATGTATGTACTACTACTACTACTACTACTGCCACCCGTTGTTTTAACGTCCGCTTCCACAGAAGTGATATCGCAGACAACGATATTACCTCGGTGGAAGCGGACGTTAGATAAAGGTATTTCACACACGTTAGGAAATCATTAATTGCTTGATAACGATACCAGTATGTGAATTGAAGCGTAGCATGTTAATAAACTATTGGGGTGCGTTATAACTACCACATATTTGTGTTTGGACACCTCCAAACAATAGCGATATATAACATAGTCCTAATTTTTGTCTTCATTGTATCAACAGTGGCGATTAGGATAACGTATAAAAACACAGTCGACCATTACATGACACACACTTGAATAATACAGTATATTATAGGAAATGCCCCAGTCTTATATTCGTCTTTTGCGTTTTGGGGTTATTTGCCTTCCTTGTGAATTTGTTTTCATTTAAGATGAAGTCCCCAAGATCAAGTCGTTTAAATTGATAGTACTGTCTTGTCTTCGAGGTTTCTGTTTGTTTGTGTATGATACGGGTTCTCGTGATTTACTATTATCGTTCTTACTATTGTCTGCCCGCCAACCAATCTGATTAAAACACAGATCCTATTGATCCTATTTCGTTATTTGTCTGTACTACACTAGGATCTGGAAGAGTTGTTATATAACTTGCGTTCTTGATGGCGTGAGTGATTAGCCAATGAAACTATCTGTTACGGTGACTTCTTGGCGTGCGATAGACGGAACTGTGGGTAAACCACCAGAAATCAATGTCTGACGTCCTAGGGCCAAAAACGCCCGTACGACCCCTGCCGTGATCTTCCAGTACAACTGGCCAGAGCTTCATGTAGTGTAGGCCATCGAAAGTATAAAAAAAACCGAAACGAAATATAGATCTGTCTTTAACCAGATTGCCCGCCAAAAAAAAAAAAAAAAAAAAACAAAAAAAAAAAAAAAAACATTGGAAGAAATCAGTCATAACAACAACGATTCTCTTACCAAGAACTTCTGCAATATAACCTTATTACATCGCCATCTTCAAAATGTCAGCTTAACCCCTTTTTCCCTGACTGGATTAGAGATTAGTGGAAAGTAGTTTTCAAAGATATAAGATGTTTTCGAATTAATAGAGGACCGAAAGGCGTTGATGTTACCCATTGCATCGTTATCAGACTCTTAATTGTAAGTGTCTCAATTTACTATTCTACCAACTCAACTTTTTCATCAACATTTTCGGTATCAGACGGCTCAGTGAGTAGGACGTTGGCTCGCTAACCTGGAGGTCTCGTGTTCGATCTCAATGATGATCGAGAAGGTTCATCCGGATTTTCCGGCGTGGTTCCCACTTTTCAATGGTGAATGACGAAAAGCATGGGAAAGGGAAAAACGTATACTCGTTCGGATGGGACGAAAAACGGAGGTCTCGTGTACACATTAGCTTATGCGTAAAATAACCCTTGAAAGTTGGAATTCGGTATAAGAGTAGGTCGTAGTGCCATTTTCCGGGCAGAATTTCCCTCATAGCACACTCTATGCCCAGTCGGTGCACACCAGATGAACCTTCAAACCCATTTCATTTCATTAACCTATTCACAAACTCTTTAGCTTCGTCGAGCAGCCTTTGAACTGATACGAATAGAATAACCATGAAATTTGGATGACAAATGGGTAAGAATGGTCGTTATAGACTTAGTTGTTCGGATGGGATGAAAATCCAAGGTCCCGTTGACATGCACTTACCAGTACTCTTGACGATTAGAATTAAATTACGTATGGCGCATGCCCGTCTCCATTAGTCCGGTTTGTGTAGAAAAGTAGTACGTTAAACCCTATTTAGTTCACACATTCGTTGTAGTCTATTGATCAATATTTTAATTATTTCTTTAGATCTCGGCACATGTAAACTTTGATATATATATATACACCCTGGTTGCCTAAAAGAATTAACGATAAGTGGCATTTTCTTGGCATTGAGTCTATGTCGCTTATTTTCGAAACCGCCAAACTGCTGCTACTCCCCAGACCGCCACAACACTACCGTCAGCCCCCCCCTCCCCCCATACTATCAGAGAACTAGTGATGGAAAAGTTCCAGATGTTCTATCAAAGTCCATGTCCATATATGGTTGATTCTGGACGTCATTAGGTGTAATTGACCAATCACTTAATTTATTGCATAAATCTAGGGATATAAAAAGTAACATCCGAGCTAGCCAGATCAGCCACCATTGGGTTCTTTAGAAGAGATTCTTTAGACGTGGATTGGATTCTAGAGACAACCATTTGGTTCTTTAGACGACCATTTGATTCTGGGAGAGCAAGGATGTAGTGGTTACCAGAGACTCATCAGGAAAGGAGTGGAGAGAATGACTTTTACGTATACCATTGTTTAACCATATGTATCCCACTTTTCCTTATAATGATATATACCAGAAGCTATTGCATTGTTGTTCTCATAATTTGGCGGCTGTACAAAATACGTACACGAAGTCCAAAGTGAAGTCCAAGACTGGATACTTTCAATGGAATCCAAGTGGGAGTCCAACCTAGACGACCACAGGCAAAAAATAGATGTGTAACATGCAGGGAGTGTGTCACACATCGGATGCGGTAAACTATTTGGCGGCACCGCTTTCAATTTTCCTGTTACAGGCGGTGCAACCGCTAAACAGTCATAATATTATGTTTTCCATTTATTAAATATTTTTTTATGTTATCTTTCTTTATTCAGATGCTAAGATAAGTGAGCTGGTGAGTTTGAGCAATGAAGCTAAATCCAAATCATATAATCCTTATAGTAAATTTAGAGTTGGTGCGGCTCTCTTAACAGTGGATGGTAAAATATTTACAGGTATTTTATTCAAGATATTTTCTAATCTAATCAAGCACCAGTGTTGTTTTAATGTTGCTGATACTTTTAATCCGAATTACCTAGATACGAAAAGAGATGTATCGATATACGCAATGATGGCTAATATACATACATAGAAGCGCTGGAGCCAGTAGAATAATCTGACGTTTTGGAAAATTCTAAGTCATCTCTACTATGCCCCTATATTAGATTAAAAATTCTAAATTTGTTAATGTGGCGCTATCGTCTAATTATTAACCTAAAGAAGAGAGAGTTGTTTATGTATTGTTTAATGGTCGAGAGCGAGACATTAAGTAATATATTGTAATATATTACAATATATTACGCAATGTCGTAAGCTCGAGACCATTAAACATCTTAAAATATTGACACTCCGCACGAGCTTTTAAGTCACACTAGTCCAATATCTCACTGGTATGAATAAAGTACTATTGGCAAGTTGCCCGTACGATTATTTGAAATAATGGTACGCCAACATCAAAGAGTGACGTCACATCTGTATTTTAAATCAACATAATGGTCCCATCAGGTGCCCAATCGGCTAAATCTATTTGTTACGACCAGCCCAATTTTCGTCACGGTCGCTGAGATGTAAATAAGGTTAGGGCACCTGATTGTTGGCGAGATTGTAGGTTAGGGTTAGGGTAAGCATGAGGGCTAGGTACAGGGCTAGGGTTAGGGTTGGCATTAATAAATTTAGAATTTTGAATCTAATATACCGCCATATGTCACACCACTCCACCTTCATAAAAGCGCTGTCGACAGCCCATCAACCCAAATTGCTTTCCATTAGCAAATCCTTGCTTCACCTGCATTCTCGTAAGCGGACATAAATATCGCCACTCTGAGTAAACATCCTGTTTTTGTTTTCGACAATATACCGGTGGATGTGACCCATGATAAATCTTCCTCCTCACTGAGTTCGTTGTTGGAGAAATTAATTTTATCAACAACGACTTTAAATTTCTTATAGGTCATTCACATATAGTCTTATTTATATAAAAAAAAATTAACAAACGCCGCAGGTGGGTGTGACCCGTATTGTCCTTCATCATTCGAGTTTGTTTATTGCAAAAACAAAGTTTATCAAATACTACCAGTTAAAATTTCATATATATAGGTCATTCGCCTACAGTTTTATTTATTTTAAAAGCAAACGTTCACAAACAGGCACATAAAACAATCCGTAAAGGAATCTTATTAGCCATAAAATACGAATGAAAAATACTCCTTGTAATATGAACGACTATTGGAGAAATATATTTTATTACATAATATAACTAGGATATGTACACGAACACTTAACCCACGTTATAAATTATGGTCTATATTTCTAATATAAGCTATTGTATACGTAATTCAAATATAGTTCACTATTATATTAATCGCTACTATTGGCCATTTCCAAAATATGCCCATAAAGTAAATAAAACAATGATGAAGAAATGAAATGAAATGGGGTTTAACGTCCTACTGTTCTGATCCTATACTTGGCTAATGAAGACCGGCATACGCCATACAGTGTGCAATGAGGGAAATTTTGCCCGAGCAGCAATAATGACGCCATCGAATTTTAAGGTGTATTATGATAATACCGCGCCATCCCAACAATTGTCTTAAATAGCCATTCTCTGTTCAATTATTAGTAAAGTTTAATCTGTATTTCGCGGATTGTATATTATTGCAGGCTGTAATGTAGAAAATGCTTCATATGGATTAACGATATGCGCTGAAAGAACAGCTATTGTCAAGGCAGTCTCAGAAGGTTATACGCAATTTAAAGCTATAGCTATTGCAAGGTAAGCCATAATGATGCTTAGATATTATTTTATCAGAGATAGAAAGAGAGAGAGAGAGATGCTTGGGATTATCCGCTATGAGCATTAAACGCCTCAATAATGCCTTTACGTCTAATATACGTCATGTCATTTTTCTTTAATATGGAATGTTCCACGGGATTTTCCAGCGTTTCCCTCATTATCGGTGGTGGCTCCCTTCGCCTGAATAATAAAAAAAACGGATGACCCGGTACTGTACACGTGCATGTGTATGTAAAAGAACCCTTGGCATTTGGAATTCGGCGAAGGGTATCCTGAAGCGTCGCTGGCCTGGCAAAATGTGCACCATAGCACGGTTGATACAGAAAAGTAGGATGTTAAACCCTATTTCATATAATTTCATTGATCAATTGGTTTTTCTTTGACATGTTTTAAACGGACGAACATTACCATAACATACACCATATGGCTGACGTTTATAAAATTGTAAACACAGCCGGTTGCTCAAAACTCAGAGTTTAACGGATCGTTAACTTCCTAACGCGTCGTTTGGTAACGGTCCGTTAAATTTCTGTTGCTGGATAGACAGTTTCATTATCAGTTAATCCAAGAGAAGACTGTTTGTTCATTGGCTGAATTTAAAATCTTTAAATTCAATATATATGTATAACAAAACAACTTCATAGAAGTTAGTATTAACAAGAAACAGAAGAAAGTGGGACAACTGTGCAAACACTATAAAAAAAACCCTATAGAATACTATAATTTTTTCCTGTAGAATATTTAGCATAAATCTTTAGAAAAAATTACAGGATTTGCACTTTAGAAACGTAGAATATTTGCGAACGACTTTATTTCCTACATGCCCCCCAAATTATATAGAACACCATAGAATTTCATCCTATAGAAAATGTGATAGCCCTCGCCCCAACCCTTTAGAATGTACAATTCTATAGAAACCCGCACTGGTAATCTATAAGGACTTTTGCTAAGGGTATACTTCGACTGACATCCCATTAATGCCATCGTTAAACAGATGACGGAGCCCAACACCGTCGTTAAATATAACGTCAAGTTAACGGCATGTTAAAGTTACATTAAAATGTGGCTTCTCTCCGTTAAATATATCATTCCGTGAACTCATGTTAACGAGGCGTTATAAGTTAACGGAGCTTTGAACAGCCGGTCCCAGGTCGCTTTGTTAATTTACAGCATGGGTCATGTGTAGACTATTTTATATAATAATAATATACTAGTATTCGGTTAATAGGTCATATTTTCAATGTAAATTTCCATTTGGTCGACCTTCATCGACTTCTATTAGAAATATATTAGCAAGTGTATAGTCAGGACACGTTTCACACAGAATAATGCACAACGTTACCATCAAATAATACAGATTTGTATAGTAATATGCGTTTTTATCGACCACTGATTTGACAGTGTGATTTGCATTAAATCAAATTGTGATCTTTAACTCCCATCTAATTAAAATTGATTACCCTAATCTGCAAATTTATCGACTACACCAATTTGCCAAATCACCTCGAGGTGCGATTTATCGATGTGATCGGGTGATCACGTGTTTTTTTATACACCCACATTGAAATGTAGTCGTATTTTGTCGTCGGCCCGGCGCCCGCAATTGCTTTTGGACGCTCTAGAGGCTAAAGTTAATATCCAATTGACCTTACATTCATACACAGTGTTTAAGGTCATGATACGTAGAAGCCTATTCATTTTCATTGATTTCTGATAATTACTGTCAGAATTATGGCACTTGATTACTTTAATATATATTGTAGATGCTCTAGACGCTAAAGTTAATATCCGATTGACTTTAAATGTATACAGTGTTTAAGGTCCCTAGGGCGAAGAAGCCTATTGATTTTCAACGATTTCGGACAATTACTGCCAAAGTTATGGCCCTTGATCACTTTGAAATATCTGGTGGACTCTCTAGGCGCTAAAGTTAATATCTGATTGACTTTAAATTTATACACAGTGTTTAACGCCATGATAATGACTGCCAGAGTTATGGCCCTTTATCACTTAAAATAAGTTGTGGTCCCTCTAGACGCTAAAGTTAATATCCGATTGACTTTAAATTTATACACAGTGTTTTTAAAAGGTCATACGACAAAGAAGTCTTTTGATTTTCAAGAATTTACGATAATTACTGTCAGAGTTATTGCCCTTGATCATTTTGAAAAATCTTGTGGACGCTTTAGATGTTAATATTAATATCCGATTGACTTTATATTTATACAGTGTTTAAGGTCATGAGACGAAGAAGCCGATCAATTTTCAACGATTTCCGATGATTATTGAATGTTTGTATGCTTTTGATTATGGAAGAACTAGAAGCCAAATGGGTTGTTACTAATAATCATATTTTAGTGTGCTGTAAATGTGTTCATTTCTGACAGGGGGGGGGGGGTCGAATGGTTAGCACGTGCGTGCTGTATCACAAGGCCTGTCATTGAGTCAACTGGCGTGGTTTCGAATCCCCGGTTGTACGTGACAAGGAGTAAGGTCGCCTGTCCAACCTCAAGGGTTTTCTACGGGTCCTCCGGTTTCCTCCCGCTGCTACAGACCTCTACGCGCAAGCGAATTATTGAAATAAAATTAAACCATATGTTAGCCCCCAAATGACCTAGTTTTTGTCGAGTGGACGTTAAACCCAATTTCTCTCTCTCTCTCATTTCTGTCAAAAGAAAAAACCCTTGTTAACATCGGACGACTTAGCTGCTGTGGGATATGTTTCATTGCCTGCCAAACTATCTTTCAACTACGTATATCCAGTCACAAGGATTGTTGAGAGCTAATCGGAGAATTTAACAAAGCTTGATAAATATAAACATTACGTTTTATTGGTCTAATATTGTTGTCACCCCAATCCGTCTGGATCGTTGGTCCGACATTCAGATTTTCTTGTGAACACATCACTCAAAATGTTAGAAATATTTTTTTACATTAATAAGACGAATAATCCTATTTAATTTTAACCATATGATTCAAATATATATTATTCAGATTAGTGTGATACAATTTCAACAATTTATTACGTTATGGCCCATTATTGCTACACAGTGGTCATCCGATTTACTTTATCTGATTGTATCTTCACAGGCTTTATAACTTTTCATTAGTACGAAAATTCCACATATCGTGTGGGTCGAGAAAAACTAGTACAATCAGGGACGGATTGGGGCCGGGAACCGGCTCGGGCTCCCGTGCCGGAGCGGCACCTTTTACTGACCGCGAAGCCCGGATGGGGGGTCCGGGGGCTCTCCCCCATGAAAATTTTGAAAAATGAACCCGATTTGGTGGCATATCTGATTATAATCTCTGTCAAATAATATAATAATAATAATAATAATTTTATTTTAATCAGTGTCACCATCTTTACAAAAATACATTGCACAAATACATAGAAACAAAATTATTAAGATGCCAGCCGATAACGACTTTTGAGACACTATACATATGCAAAACAATTAAAACATTCAACAGTATAGGTTAAAAAATGATAAATAGCAATAAAAGTGAGACACATACAATACAAATAACTACGTAAACGTTTAGGTTAAAAGAGCATTTTTCCTCTGTTCAAACATTCTATATATACAAGATGCAAAATGAGGTAAAATATCAGTAGTATTCATTAAGAAGTACATTTTATTTACATTATCATACAGGTTAAAAGTTGGTTCAATTTGGCAGGCTCTGGTACATATTGATTGTCTTATATCGTTATAAAAATCACAATTAAAAACAAAATGTTCTTCATCCCCAACTTGTCTATCATTACAAAATATACATATTCTTTCATACACGGGCTCGGGTGGTTTTGAAAAACGTCCAGTTTCAATTCTGAGGGGAAGTGATCCAGCTCTTAATTTTGACAAAATGTGACCTATTCTTAACTACTTGAACAAACGGTTCCGTACCAAACAATGTTTTATATTTACGATATGATCTCAGTTTATTGCCATTTAGACAAGTCTTATCATCCCATAAGCTCTGTGACCAATGATCTATATCCTTTTCGGATAACTTTGTTTTAACATTATTGAGGCACACAATATCATTTTCATTGACTAAAACATCTAGCTCCTCACCTAACTTCAAAACCCGATAATCCCATGATGTTTTACGCCTAATGCTCCACTTATGCACATCTTTACATAAGTTACTTCCCTTTAGTTTAATTCTATTCCAGTAGCGAAATAGTTCTATTTTCAGAATGGTATCCCCCTGTAACCAGCCCATATCCCCCCGAGAAGCTATGTTGCTGCTCCGTTTAGTTTAACCCAAATAAAATTTACAGGCATTATTGTTAAGCACATTAATACATCTATGGGTATTGATTCCCCATATTCCAGATGCATATGTAAGGATAGGTAATACAAGGGCTTCATATAACTTATTATATACATTCAAATTAAAGCCACCAAATTGAGTGAACTTTGTTTTTATCACAGCTAATGCCCTATTTGCTGATTTTGAGAGTTCTTTGGCACTAAATGAGTAGTCACAGAATTCATTGAGCCATATACCTAAGTATTTATATTCACTGGTGTATACGATATTTAAGTTATCACAATTAAATTTAACAGTGCACCTGTTGACACTAGGATTACGGAAATGGACAATTTTAGTTTTATCTTCATGACTAACCTCCACTTACGACACCAATTGCTTAATACATCTAACAGTCGTTGTAGTTTGTTTTCATCTGGTGCTAAAAGAACTATATCATCTGCATATAATAATGCAGAGATCATTTTACCATCGATATCTATACCACATTCAATAGCATTCAGTTCCTTAACTAAATCATTTACATATATAGAAAATAATGTTGGTGATAAAACACAACCCTGTTTGACACCTTGAGTTACTTGAAACCATTCAGT